GGAAGAGAGAGAGAGAGAGAGAGAGAGAGAGAGAGAGAGAGAGAGAGAGAGAGAGAATATAAACCAGTACATTTATGTCTGTACTGAATGTATTGAATGAAACAGAGAGGGAAACAGGTATAGAGAAAATGAGTGAAACAAACGAAGACAGCAAGGAACCTTGAAACCTTATTGCCTCTACTGGTAATTCACTGAATGCCAAGGCGGTTTCTGGGCCTTCACAAATGGGATACATAATTTATAGTTATTGTACCTTGTGGCAACCATGCCCTTGATCGTCGCTGAAGACTTTCAGCTTGGGTCAAGGGGAAATCAATCAATGCCCTCTGGTTTCGCAAAATGGATACTAATGCTCTTCTCATGTCAGACCGATATCTTTTTTTCCTTTTGTTTTTGTTGGTTAGTGTTTCACGCACGGCGCTGGCAACTACAAAAGGTCATATGAGCGCCCGGAATACATTATAAATTAATTTTCAGTTTGGTAGGAATTCATTTTTTGAATTTTGCCCGGGTGGCGGCCGAAGCCTACTCTTATCGATTTTGGACCCCCAAGGGATCTTTAAAGAGAACAACTTGCACAGCAAACCTCCGAGATTTTTCGCCCTTATCCGAGATCTAAGGCTAAGTGTTAGATCTTACCTACCATAAGATCAGGGGTATGGCTGAAAGACAGCAGTAAGAAGGGGCCAAGGTGTAGCATGAGCAGTATGAAGGCTGCAGAAAGAGCCAGGAGTCCAAATGAGAGGGCAAATGGGTGGGGTGGGGGGGGGGGGCAGAAAGTGGAGACGAAAGCAGACGACAGAATGTGAGAGCAGGAAAGGGAACAAAAGGAGAAAATTCTATAGAAGAAAATATTCCGTCCATGTCAGGTTTCGAACCCAAGACCTCTTGAATGAGAGGCAAACACCTAAACCTTTAGACCACGAGAGAACTATACGTTTGTTTCAGACGCGCAATACGTCGCGTTGTTTAACATAGTTAACTGGAAAAAACTTTCAGCATATGAGAGCACAGCCAGTGTATCTCTGGAATGTATTCATTAGTTGAAGGTTTCATTCGGAACTTACTTAATATATAACCTACTGCGTCCATTCGAGATCTCCACTCTGTTTTTTGGCCAACAATGGCAATCGTCATACTGTTACGTGAAAAACGGTTTTAACGTATTTTTGAAGAAGAAGGAACGGTTACTTTATTGTGCTTTTGTGACTCTTCCTCTACCTCACCACCCGCTCTTCACACACACACACACATACACACACACACACTCTCTCTCTCTCTCTCTCTCTCTCTCTCTCTCGCTCTCTCTCTCTCTCTCTCTCTCTCTCTCTTTCTCTTTCCCTCTCCCTCTCCCTCTCCCTTCCTTCTCTCTTCACTTCCCTATCACCCTTTCTGTCTCCCTCTATCTCTTTCTCCTCTCTCTCTCTCTCTCTCTCTCTCTCTCTCTCTCTCTCTCTCTCTCTCTCTCTCTCTCTCTCTCTCTCACTCTTTCTCTCTATGTACACACACACACACACACACACACACACACACATACACACACGCTCTCTCTCTCTCTCTCTCACTCTCTCTCTCTCTCTCTCTCTCTCTCTCTCTCTCTCTCTCTCTCTCTCTCTCTCTACTTCACTTCATTCTGTTTTTCTCAAGAGTTTTAAAGTACTTGCAACACAGTAAGTCATATAGTGCCGAAGAATAGATGTACTACAAGAGATTAACATACACAAAAAGAAGGAGGAGAGATAAGGACGATAAATATCTTATATGAAAGAAGTAGCAAACCACACCATAGTACCCGCCAACCACCCACTCAGTTCATTCTTAAAAAAACAAACCCTTGTCACATGGCGGTCACGTGACAGGAACTACGTAGAACTACGTGGACCCAGAGCTAAAAGCGTCCAACTACAAATGTCCAGCTTCTCCTCCAAAGACATCATCGGCTGGGGGGGTGGGGGTGGCAAAGGGAACCTTTTGAATATGGGCCGGCAATAAGAGCTCGTCTCGAGGGCGTTGTACAAAGCGAAGACCACATCTCACTACGGTGTCTAAAGCCCTCACGAGAGTCTGGCGCTCGGTGATAATGTACATCTCCAAAGGATATGACCTTATGCTGTGGAAAACACCCGCCGTTGAGAAAATGGGCCAGAAATTTAACAGATATCCCAAGGGAGGTGACACGCGCTTTTTCTAAAGAGAGTATTACACGTACAGCTAATATGGATACAGTTTTGGCTTCCAGCCACTTTTAAGTTGGTCATTGAACTGGCTGGCTGTTATATTATCGGCAGCCAAACTGAGTACCATTCAGATCACATAAATACACACACACACACACACACACACACACACACACACACACACACACACACACGCACACACACGCACACACACCCTCACACACACATACACACACACGCATACATACACACACTTGCAACCGCCTGCGCACTTTTGAAATCCCACCACCATGTTATATCATGTTTCTCAATCCATTGGGGCTGATACTTGAAGTAGATTTTAAAAAAGTAAGTTCTTTCATTAAATAAATAGAGTGTATAGATTCTGCCATGTTCGAAACAATATTTCGGCTAATTTTCTTATTACACGTACGCGTACACGGTAAGGATGGGCTGCTGGTCGACTGTTGACTATATACTGTCCATTTCAACTTACTTTATTTTTCTTTGCTTTACTTTACTTTACTTTGCTCTGCTTTGCTTTGCTTTGCTTTGCTTTGCTTTGCTTTTCTTACTCTACCCTATCTGTCGAACTCTTAGATATCTAGGGGAGGTGCAATTTTCGGTCGAAGACAACGTGGGTGGCTGCTGTTATTGGTATATTAATCTTTCGGAAGACCTCTATAACGCCATTCAGCCAAATGTCCGTTTCATATCCTCTCAAGAGTACATGAAGCTCTGCTCGCATTACATCGGGATTCCAGCTTCCCATTAGCTGAGCAGGCCGTTGTGTCTTTGGGAATTGATGTACTTTACTGTATAGTATTTTTTACTCTTTCTTCGGATGCTGTTAGACACTTGACGATGGGACAGCGTCGAGGCGCTTAACAACCCCCCCCTTTCCACCTTTCCCAAAATTCCTGTTTTTGTTTTAGTTGTAGTTTCATTAAGAATTTTACCGCACTTGCAACACAAAAAGGTCATACAAGTTGTTTCCAAGTGCATTCCCTATTTGGGTTTAGGTTTATTTTCACAATGAATATAAATTGAATCGATAATTTTAATGACAGAACGGAAAAATTCCGACTTAAAAGTACTTTTGGCATTTTTGATAGTGCAAGCACTCTATGGAACGTACATCACTGTTACACACATGTTTTTCGGACAATTAATGAAGAAAATAAAATCCCAGGACCATAGTAGCACCCGTTGTTACCTCCTTTGCCTTATACTTCTTTTTTATTCTCT